ATCAGGGGAAAAAGACAAAAGGAATTGTTTTGCAATGTCATTCTATTAAAGAAAAAAAAAAAACAGACTAAGGTTTTACTGGAGCTATATGTACCGAAGGAGAGAACAGCACTATAAGATTGCCCTTGGGTCCTTCATAGGCTTGTCCTCAAGGAGATTTTTATAAAAGTAAGACTGTTTGCTATAGACGTTGTAAACTACATACAGAAATACAATACCTACCTAACCATATACGTATAACGCCGATGTAGTTTTACCCTTAGCATAACAGTTTCCTTAAGTCTGAGCCAATATTTCATTCCTGCTTTCTGGCACTTCCCCAGGTGATACATACAGTAAATGCTCAGATAGCTTAGATTTATATCTTTGGTAATCAAAGCAACAGGTCAAGTATCAGGTGAATTACTGTAGTTACTAAAGAATCTGTCTCCGCACGACAGCCAGAATTAACACAGAGATTGAGAGAAAGCTAAGCTGTCCTACCCGTATCGTTTATTATTTTTAGCATTTCTAAATAAGCAGCCAACAAGGAAGTGGAGAAATGTAAGCAAAAGCAATAATGAATCAGGACTACGTAAGAGTGCATACATGAAAAATAACTGAGAATTAAGAGTGCTACAAGATTTTTTTAAATTGCATATGGTAATGTAAGGGTTTTTTTAAATGTTCTTTGTTATACCAAGGCAGGGGCAAAGGCAAAAGAGAGGGTAGCAGTGTGTATTCAAAGTTGTGCTGTTTTCCACTCTCTCAAGGACGGCTTTGCTACCCTCCTACACTGGGCAGTGCTACAGTCAGAGTGATGAGTGTCTGTGTTTTCTGCCTGTCAGCAAAGGTGGATCAGGCCTGCATGACCTCAGCAGCTTGCTAGGCCACAGCCAGGAAGGTTTGAATAGCCCCATAGAAAAGTCCAGCGTGACCCACTGCTGACACAGGCAAATCTTTGGGCCTGAACGCAGAGCATCCTGGTTCTCTCTCCGATACAGCTCTGAGCATGGTGGGTTCCTAGCATTACTAAAGAAGATCGCACTTGTTCTTGCACACAAGGTGCAATTCTTTTCCGATGCAGAGTGGAGTGCCACTTGAAGATGAGCCAAGGTACTGTAAAGAGCTGTATCTCTCCCTCATCTGTCTTGCTTCCTTTTTGGGAATGTCACGAATGAATACCCTAAAAGAATTCAGCTTTGTTCTTCCAACCAGCTGTTGCTCAGCTGGAATACTGCAATTGTGAAATCTGCCCTGGAAAATGTGTATTTGTTTTGCTCTGCTTTGTTTTGTCATCTGCCGAAGTAGGAATGCTCCTTTTCATTCTGTGATGGTTGAAAAGAGGGGCTTGGTGTTGGTGTTATATAGCATAATTAGGAATTATCTATATATGTAATGCTGCCTAAGAACTAATTCAGCAAGACCTCTGTTTCCAGAACGCCTATGAGAAGTACACGAATATACAGAATTGAGCTATAAGGTGGAAAACCCTTCCAGATGGGGACTTGTATTTTTTAATATGTAAAGCATTTAGTGACTTTTGAGTGCTATATAAATACCAAATAGCACAGAAAAGATACAAATGGCACGCAACCGACTGTCAGTGCAGCAAATTAAGCTTCTGTTTATAGCAGGAGTGTAAATATAGGGTTAACGGTTAATTCATTTAATGATGAATGTGACACCACTGTGTTATCCTGTAAGAACGTGAATAGAGATTTGCAGCAGACAACATGCTGTGAGCCCAAAAGAATAGGAAACTACTGCCTGCTTTTTTTAAAACTATTGCAAAATGTGGACACAATACTTGGACATAATAGACTGTGTCTGACAACATTTGTACAGTATGTAGCGGAGTGAGCCCCACTCAGCTTCCTATAGTTATCCATATATAGTGACTAAAATTGCAGACACTGAATTAACTCTGAATAACATATGAGCTGGAGTGACAGCCTTCATGTGGTTCTAGAAGGATGAGAATAAGATAGATGGCTGTTTGTGTAGATGTACTAAACTGCAAATCCAGGGGTCCATAGAGTATGGAAAATATGCCAAAAGCTGGGTTGTCCCTTCCATCCCACAGACCCCATTGATTTCCTGCAGGGCAGGAATCCCCCCTTGCAGAGCAGCTTGCAAGATCAGGGTAAATCCATTTCTAGTAACAGACTTTCTCACGCACCCTACCCACTACATTCACGTTTCTCCACTTAGCCCACCTTGGCATCCTTCTGAACCCTGTTATTTTTCAAAACTATTTGGAGAATAGAGAGTGAGTTCTGAATGCCAGCAAGCAACTCTGCCTCTACTGAACCAAGCGGAGAAAGCAGTTGCACTTGAATTTCCCAATTGCCAATTCTCCTTTTTCCTTTCTAACACCAGAATGGAAAGAGCTTTTAGCAAAACTCTCTCTCTAACTTTAGCGGCTGCTCCAGTACCATATAAGGAGACGGGCCATTTCCAAGATCCAAAATATTGAGGGTTTCAGGAGGTTGAGAAAATGGCGAGTTCATATTTATACAGAAACAAGTGGTATGTCAATCCAAATCACAGAACCCGTGCAAAATGCACTCTCTGACAGGAACGCCGCTAAGCAGCGGCGTTCAGCGCCTCGTTTTTAGGCAATCGTCAGGTAAAGCTCCATCTAGAATAGATTGAACTAAAGCAAGATGACAGGAACTGGGAACCCCCAAATCCGAAAGAAATAGCTTTAGGGATGAAAAAGGAGAGTGTGTAAATAGCAAAAGTAGAGGTACCACATTTTGGAGCCAATTGCTTTAGAGAATAAGTGTGTTTTTAAAAACGGATTAAAATAGATTTCTGCAATGGAGGAGCAGGGAGTGCACAAACATTTTTATTTTTGCTCTCAAGCAAATCCCGGGACGTCATTCTCCCCCTGTACTCGGCCTTAGTGAGGCCGCAGCTGGAGTACTGTGTCCAGTTTTGGGCTCCACAATTCAAAAAGGATGTGGAGAAGCTTGAGAGAGTCCAGAGAAGAGCCACGCGCATGATCAGAGGTCAGGGAAGCAGACCCTACGATGACAGGCTGAGAGCCCTGGGGCTCTTTAGCCTGGAAAAGCGCAGGCTCAGGGGTGATCTGATGGCCAGCTACAAGTTTATCAGGGGTGACCACCAGTATCTGGGGGAACGTTTGTTCACCAGAGCGCCCCAAGGGATGACGAGGTCGAATGGTCACAAACTACTTCAAGATCGTTTCAGGCTGGACATAAGGAAGAACTTCTTTACTGTCCGAGCCCCCAAGGTCTGGAACAGCCTGCCACCGGAGGTGGTTCAAGCGCCTTCATTGAACACCTTCAAGATGAAACTGGATGCTTATCTTGCTGGGATCCTATGACCCCAGCTGACTTCCTGCCCTTTGGGCGGGGGGCTGGACGCGATGATCTTCCGAGGTCCCTTCCAGCCCTAATGTCTATGAAATCTATGAAATACAGAACGGATTTTAGAGAAACAGTAGAATTCTCCAAAATGTGTCATGCTGCTGTACTGTGCTGTTCAAGGGCCAAAGCTCCCTATATTTTTTGCAGATGAACTCCATGCATACTCTCTGACGGTATTCAGTCACATCTTCTGTTCCTAGATTCCTCGTTGTAAAGGCTGAAAACATGATTCTGAGCTTCCATGCATCAGAAGAATAACTATGAAATTTTAATTTGTCTTTTAACAGATTCTCAGCAATCTCTGGCCCTTTTTCTTTTGACTTGGCAGTAGGGTTTCAGATGTTAAAGTCAATCTCTTTTGGAGTGTTACTTTTTCCTGACTATAGATACTAGAATGAAAATTGTAGAGGTGTTGGTAAGTTTTGTGAAGAAAACATTATAATAGGTTATAACATTTGGCTCTCAAGAAGACAACAGGGACCCAAAGGGGCTCCAAATATTATTAAATTGCTTCCAAAATTTAATGATGCTACTATGATAAATAAGTAGGCTTGGCAGGATTTAATATTTATTGGTAAACGTTGATTTCACCTCACACTCACATCCAACAAAAAAAAAGTTCCATCAGTAACAATCAAAAAGAGAGAGGAAGAACAGAAGGGAGTTGCAGGTTGGGGTATAGAGGACCAGCCTCTTTAAAGAGGAAAACAGCAGGCAGCCTAATGACTTGCCACAATTGGCTGTTTGTTTGCAGGTGCTAGGAAGTAAACTGAAGGGAGATAACAGGCTACTTAAACCCCTACCCAGAGCTCAGAGCGGGGGAAGAATATTTGAGTTAGATGGCTGTGGAGAAGGCATGTGAAAGAAGGCATGCAAAGTAGCAGGGGGGAATTCCTGACATCTGAGTGGGACAACTCAGCTGCAGAGAACCGAGGACAGCCTGTAAAAAGAGGTGAAACAGCCTACTGATGAGACTGGTAGAGACTCCAATTAGAAAGGATACAAGTTTTGGAGTTTTCTTGACCTTTTCATTCTTTTGTTTTGCCATCCTGGGGGCAATGATCTTTATGTTGTTAATTCAAGTTGATAAAAATTGAAATAAATGCTTAAAAATAAACATGAATATTATCCATCACAATTATAAAAAAAATACTTGATTTTGGCCAAGCCTATATATAAGGTACCATTTTAGGACCCCTACTGCTCAGTCCTCCCAGGTCATAGAGTCACCAGCCTTTTCATATTGCTCTGGAAACAAACTGTTTTGGTAGGATGCATGAAAATCCTGATGTCTCTATCTTTGGTCCCTTTGGTCTATCCACAGTTACTTATATTCTCAAAATGATGTACAACTTTATTAAATAAACAGGGCAGAGAAAACAGGAATTCTTCTTCCAAAAGATCAGGGGAAAAAGACAAAAGGAATTGTTTTGCAATGTCATTCTATTAAAGAAAAAAAAAAAACAGACTAAGGTTTTACTGGAGCTATATGTACCGAAGGAGAGAACAGCACTATAAGATTGCCCTTGGGTCCTTCATAGGCTTGTCCTCAAGGAGATTTTTATAAAAGTAAGACTGTTTGCTATAGACGTTGTAAACTACATACAGAAATACAATACCTACCTAACCATATACGTATAACGCCGATGTAGTCCTTATTTTTGGCAGAGAGTAGCTTGTCATATGAGGGACAGCCAGCCAAGAGTATACGATCATGGTCTTCACACATGGATATCAAATGTTGTTCTGCACTTCTTGTGCAGCACACATGGTAATGAGCCAGTTTAGTAATGGCATGTCTGATAGAGTCATCTATTGTTCCACTGACTTCCCCACCTTCAATATGAAGAATCCGAATATTCATTAAGGCTGCAGATGTGGCCAGTGCCAGTGCATCAAACCTGTCTCCATGAACTATCATTATATCAGGTTTCAGACGGTTAAGGACATCTGGTAGCTTTACTAATGCAAGGCCTACTGATTCCACCATGGCTGCCTCATCCTCGCCTCTCACGATGGTGTGTAACCTTGTATGAATGTCAAAGTCATCTTGTTCAATCATACGGTAGGTGTTACTGAAAACAAGATGGAAACAAAAGAAATACTTTGAGTGCAATGCCAATTGCTTTCATGTATGTTATGGACAGCAGAACGGTATACAAGCAATTTCATTATCGATTTGCTAACACAGTTTTAACTTTTTTGTAGAAAAGTTAGATTCCCTCTGTGCCCATCTCCTTGGAAAGCAACATTTCAGATTTTAGTGATGTTTGTTCACTGAAGCCAAAATTTTTAAACTGGGATACCCCATACAGGTACCTGAATCTATGTTTAGGTACCTTCATAAAAGTTTTGTCGAAGACCAGTAGTTTCCACTAGCTTCAGCAAAAATTGTGATTGTGCAGCACCTTCAAAAAACTGGGCCACTTTAAGTTCCAAACTTTGTGCATGCTAGCTTGAAAGCACTTGTCTGATACTACAGCCTGCTACCAAGTTAACACATTGTAAAAGCAAAACACACAAAAAACTAAACATAGAAACAATACAAAAAATGAAATTTAAATCATCAAACTGAGGGGAGATAAATTGCACAAGATTGAAGACATTTAAGACTTCTAGAAAATCTCTTTTTAATATTTGAAATCAAGCAAATATTCAAATCTTTACTGAACAGTAAAAGTATGGAAAAATAAACATGGTTTAACCATAAAACTATTTACTTTATACCACATGAAATATTTTAATTAATCGCCAGACATTTAGTTAGTACAACTCTATCAAAGTATTTTTGTAATATGCTTTTACCAATCTGCTATACTGACTGGAGAACAGGAAAGAATGCTGAGCTTCTTCCACATAGTAGGAATTTTTGGAAACAGGTGACTCAGAAGTTTAGTTAGAAGACTTGCCCGCCACATCAGCATAATTTAAATTATACATGAAAGGCTTCCAAAGTGCTTCCAAACATTAGTACCAATGATGATAAATATGCAAACCTGAATATTATATATGTCAGCCAAACAACCTTAATGGCAGTCTCCCATTTTTTTAGTCCTGTATTTTACGCAAAAGGTGTAGTAGCAGTAAACGGGAACAACCAAATTGGTAAATCAGTCAGTTCCAAAGGCCTCTAGTATACTTTTTACTAGGCAGGAATACCATAGGTAAGGGGCTCTTTTTCATTGGTGATATAACATATATCAGCTTTCACCTGCAAATGGGAAAGCCTTATTTCTGATATGCTGGGAGACACCATTACACACACATCTGTAATCTATAATCTGTTAATCTGCCCCAAATTACATCTGCTTTTTTTGCAACTGCATAGCTTTGCACACATGGCAAGTTTGCAATCCATCAACACCCCCAATTCCTTCTCAGCAACATTACCGCCTAGCCAATCAGCTCTCATTCTGTATTTGTGCATTTTTTTCTTTCCTAGGAAGAGCACCCACATTTATCTATTTGTCAAACTTAATTTTGTTGTCAAGTGCCCAGTTTTCCAATTTATCAAGATCCTTTTGAATTACTACCCTCCAAAGGGTTTGCAACACTTCCCAGTTTTGTCATCTGCACACACTATCAGGAAACTCTCTATTTCTATATCCAACTCTTGAAAAAAAGGTTAAATGCTACCCAGACCAGATTTAGAACAGACTCCTGTGAAACCTCACTTGAAAGCACCTGGCATTCTAATACAGATCCACTCATAATTGTTCACTGACTCTGGTTATTCAGCCAACTATGTCTCCACCTAACAGTAGTTGCGTCTAGCCTATACTTCTCCAGAATTCTCTCTCAGACAAGATTTTTTTTCCCTTGCAGACTTCACACATGTATTTGTACAAAATCAAAACCACCAATACAATTCCTGCTTTCAAAAGGAATGTAGGTGCTTAAAAGGGAGAGCTAGGCATCTGTCTAAAAACCCAAATCCTAACCTTAAGTGTTTAAGCTTTTGCCACTGAAGTCCCTTAGGCACCTAACTTTCTGCTGCTACATATGCACAAAACTGTCCAAGTCTTGGCAGTGCCAAGATGCTCAGACCTCTTACCTTCAAGTCCTGCGAGGATTTACAAACAAGGCATTTAGCCATTCATCGTGTCTGCTGGGTTTGATCTCATAAGTGTTATTAGAACATGACTGAGCCTCTCCCTTCACGAACACATCATGGATATATACAAAAGTCCCTGCTCTGGTGATTATTTATAACCTTGAAAATGAGAGGAGATAGCAGTCATGAAACTGAATAGCTTCTATCATTTTCAGGATTATTTTTGACAGCTACTTTTGTCATTTCTGGGGCCAGTAGTATGTATTTAAATGGAGTTTAGTTACATTACAAAGCAGACAGTGGGGCCAAAAGATGCCACACACGTAAGTGGTTTATGCACTTAACCAATTGACAGATAACCAATGTTTGTTATAATGTAGGCAACAGACAAAAAAAAACTGGGACTGACATTGTGTTATGCAGTTAACCAAATTATTCACTAATCCAATATGTAAGTGGTGCACACCGTATTCCAAAACTGACTTGAAAGAGGAATGAAAAATTTAAAAAGGACAATGCCCCAATTACCAAAATGTTAAATAATATTGCATTCTATGTTATCTGATCTGAAACAATTCTAGATTGAACATCTGCGGATTCCCAAAACTACAAGGATCATTAGTGGAAAAAGGCCATTGATGGAGGAGCCTAGGTTGAAAAACAATTGTGTTCAGCCATGATGGAAAAGTTTAATAATTTAAAAATAATATTTAGCCAGGAAAAAATAGGAGGAATTGCTTTCTGACTGTCCCTTATACTATTCTAATGAGGAATGCAATCCTTCTTCTACATGAGATGACTACTGTATGATTTCCTTTTATGAACTCATGATCCTGAGGAATTACCCAAGGACAAAGATGTGTATTTCCATCTTACCCATAGTCATCGATAAGATGAGAGCCGAGAACCACCACTTCGAGCTCAAAGAACTCAGATTCTGCTTTAATGCCAAACATGATCGGGGCTAACTTAGAATAGTCAGCCCGGTTGCAAGTAGCAACACAGACACGAAGTTTTCGGTTGTTCCTATTCTTCTCCATAGCTTGTTTCTGTTTTTGTTTTGAAAGATTCTTAAAATACAGCTCCTGAAACAACAGAAAACAAGTATCTTATTTATCTGTGTAGTCATTAAATTATCCACTTAAGTGATACAGGCCTATTTGATGCATTGCATTAACATGGGCTTAACATCCACAAGCCCCCCCAATACTGGAGGGAGGTGGGGGCTTACTGGGTATACACCAATTGATTTTGGGAGACAACTAAAGAGAAAACAGGGACGAGAGTAAGTTAATAATCTCAAAACAAGTACACCAAGGAGGGATACCAGGCAGAGTACATAGACAGTGCCCACTGGCCCTAAAACAAATCCAGAGAGCTGTAAACAATACAGGATATGCAGCAGAATCCTAGGTTATTTCAGTATGGAGATCTGGAAAAGTGGTAACTAACTGATGACTAATCAATTAGTGGTGACTAATTGATGGGAAAGCAAGTATTCTACCATGGCAAGGGTTAAGCAGAAGGGGAAGAACAAAACCTCCAATACTTTTCATTTTAATTTTAAATATAACTTCAGAGCTTATTTACTTTAGTGTATTCATAAACAAAACACCATCCAGTAGTTAAAGCAAGAAGCCTGATGTCAGAACTCCTTGGTCTGAGTCCTAGCTCTAGCACTGCTTTGCTAGGAAGTTGAGGCAAATCACTGATGCCTACATTTTTCAAAAACATCTGCTAGTTTTGGACATCCAACCTGCACAGCTAAGATCTGCTGGGCATCCCTCCAATTTGAAATAGAGCTGTGGTTACTCAGTACCAGTGTGTATCAAGCTAAGGATGTTTCAAGCTGGGCATTCAAAAACTGAGGCATCCAAAATTTGTGGACACTTCTTGAAAAATGTAAACTAATTCTGTTGAATCAAACTCAAGTTTCCCAGACTGTAAAATTTTGCTGATACTATACTTATCTTGGATATCTTGAGGAATGTTTAATTGTAATTAAATATCTATAAAGCACTATGTGATGTTCCAATAGAAAACACTAAGTGCAAGGTTATTACTGTTTTACTAAATTTAAAAAATTTTATCCTAAAAGCAAACATCAGAAAGAACAGCTGGGAGATTCTTACTGTTGTATGAACAAAGATATTGTGTTGTAGGGCTGTGTGAAGCTTCGGTAGCCGATTTGATTCAGAGGAGATTTGGCCCGATTTGGCAGCTGAATCTCCGAATCCGAATAGAATCAGGAGACCAATTAAAAGGTTCTAATCAAACTGGAAGCCTCAGAATTGATTCACAAAAGATTCAGCACTGATTCGGGGATTCGGCAATAGACTAATAGTCTCCAACTGGTAAATCTGTTGTGCTGGGTGGAGGGAAGGGGTGTTGGGGAAGGGGGGAAGATCAATGCTCCCACAGCAAGCAAGGGATTGGGGCTGGGGCAAGCTGCCCAGCCAGGGTCGGGGGGTGCAGGACTTGGGGAGGGAGTGTTGTAGTCTTTGAAAGCGGTGCAGTGCCACGTGCATCCTGCTGCTGAGCAGGCCAGGCAATGAGGTACATGACGCTGCTTTCAAAGGCTACAGTAAAGCATGGAGGTGGGGAGCAGGCAGAACACAGCTGCAGCCTGCCCTTGCCCTGGGCAAAGATCGGGGGCCACAGCTCCCCCCCACCCCTTGGAACGAACATGCCTCCCTTCCCCAGCTCCCCTGTGGTGCGCACAGTGGCGGGAGTTGCCTACACACGCCCCTGGATGAGCCGCCAGGCTCCCATTGCCCCGTGACCTGGCCTGGCTGGGACCCATTCCCTGTAAATGGGGCCCCAGCAGGCTAGGTCGTGGGGCAATCCCCACAGTGCAACAGGGGGTAGGGCAAGGGTGAATGATTTGCTCCTGCCCCTACTCTGCTCCCTCCTGCACTGTGGGGGTCTTGATCTGCCTCCCCGAAGCCCAGGCAGTCAAAAGAAACTTACCGGCGTGCTATGCTGGGCCAGCTACGATCCCGGTACACCCCTCGCCCTTGCTGCAAAAGCCTGTGGCTGGGCTCCCCTGGCGTTTGGGGGGGCTAAGCCCCATTAGTCCCACCCCCAGCCTTCTGCCATCTATGCCCCAGCCCCAATCCCTTTCTTGCCATGGGGGGGGG